AAATTTTGCATTCTCAAAACTTATTTAGACACAAATTTTGATCCGAAGGGAAAATGTTTTGCTTTGTAATTTGTCTTATTTATTATAAAAGTGACATTTTTGTTTATTTCATAGCTCTTCAAATCCTTGTTCATCTCCATCTTCTTCCACTCTCTGAAACTCTTGTCTCCATGTCTCCATCTGCAAGATTTTGTCAAATTTGCAGCAATGATTGACCAATGGAGATCTCACTGAGTTGTATCTTAATAGATAGAGAGACATTAGTACCTGATCATCTGAAAACCTGAGCTGTTGCGCGACAAACAGAACCGTGTCATGGTTTACTAGTGAATGTAATTCAACACCTAAACTCGCAGCGATCTCTTCATAGCTAACTATCTTCACCTGGAAACCATTGCTCATGAACAGTTTCTCAATCCACTTTGTCAAATCCGACTGCAGTTAAGACCACGTAAAGATTATAAATTGAAAGTTGGATACTTTAGTTTAAGGTAGAAGTCCAAAGATAGTTAAGAGATCAAAGCGACCTGAAGAATGATATTTGTAGGCAATTCTCCTATGAGATAACATTCATTCATGGCTAAGCTACTAATTGCTGATAGAATCGCTTCAAAACTAGATTGTGACTCAAGAGGTAAGCCCTGTTATGAATAGGAAGAATCATGTCAACATAAAACATTCATATAAATTGCATGGTCGTGGAAAGCTGATGATAAGTTAACTCATATTACCTGCATTGCCCATATACTTGGCCGATTCCCGCTAAACCCTTTTGAGCGTAAACGTTGCTCTATGTTCCCGGGTTCCACGGGAATATGAAAGAATAAGCAACTTTTAGAGATCCTAGCTCCCACACCTGGATCAGTAAAGAAAACAGTATCAACTCATGGAACATTTTAACAATTCTTAAGATAACGAAGTCCCTGAGAACTTTGAAAGCACAAACCTTGAAGCTTGTTCGATGCAATCTCGAAAACCTTTTCTGGTGATACGTCAAAGATCATAGTGGAAGTTGGCCAGTTAAGCCTATAAGGTCGAGTATCCATTCCATCTGTAAACAAGACAACCTGCAAGATATGATATCACTGACACATAAACAATTTAAATTCCAGAAACTTTGAAATCCATTCATGCTTAAGAAAGACAACAGAAATAAGTAAAAAGTAACCTGCTTTAGTCCATCAATGCGTTTAGCTGTATGTAACAATTTGTCATCGATGAACTTTGTTGCAATACAGTAA